AAGCTGCGTAACTGATTGATTGGAGACTAAAGGTCATGGTAACAAACCGATAGTAATGTCGATCTTCTGTCAATTACTAGACCAGAGTTCGTAAAATACTTTTTATGCTCGGCTGGACTGTGCTCTGTGTCGAGAGTACTCGTTTTTTCCCGTCCCTAAAAATAGACCCAATCCTTATCCTCGTAACACATTCTCACTGATTTTGTACGCATTATGAGTTTGGCAGCGATTATTGAAGTTCGCTTCACTGTATTACGCTGTACGATGATGCTGTGTTGAGTGAGTTGTGACTGGAGGTCTAGCTGTACAAATGGAATGACATCAGTGGCTTTAAACAATCCGCATATGGAATGAGTTTTCATTCAATGAATCGTATGCACGAAGAGAGCGGGTTGTCTTTTTTAGTTTTTGTCTGGGGGGCCACGACACTGCCTAATATAAATGTATGTACAACAATNTCTATGTGAAGTTTTTGTTGTACATCTGTTTACTGTTAACTTCCTAAATTCGGGTTTTTCGCTCTTCCTTTAGGCAAACTCCTGTCAGGGTATCTTTGGGTGATCTTCAGCTTGCCCCTTCGGCTTTTGATGCACCACAAGGAGCTCTGTCGAACGACACAGACCAGGATGACTCTGCGTCAAATAATTCCTCTCCAGCGCCGACATTCTCCCCCCGCGATGTCGCTGAAATATGGCTCAGTCACGAAAATACATCTCGGAAGCCAACACATCCTGGAAACTCAGAAGAAGCGACTAACAAATCCGATGATCAAAATCGCAATCAACCCCAATTTACCGGGGCTTGGTGGCCTGGTCGGGTTTTAAACGTTCAAGGAGGCTTCGCTCATGTTGAAGTGAGTTTTTCGAACCTTCCTCACTAGGTGAGATAGGAGTGAGATGGTGATAGAGTTGATGCTAATTGAGTTTCGAGCTCTACCGCCAGCACCATACCTTGGTAAATAGTTGGTCGTCACAGTGCTTCTATTCTTTTGGGATCGTATGTAGGGTGCCACTCCAAAACCCAGGTCTTCACCATAGTTCCCATAACTCAAGCACTGAGTCCTCGTGACCTTATTTACTTTGACGTGACGTTCTATTGGAGGATAATTTGGTTCCGTATCATCATTTCTGCCCAGGCGCCGCTGTTTAAGATCGGCTCAGGGCTGATTTCACCTCAGTTTCTCTTCTGTTACCGCACCCGTTAGGTTGGTCAGTCGATGATCGACGTATTATATGACAGAACCATAGCAACCGAAAGGCTTTGAAGGATGACGGTCAGCTTGTCAATGCCGTAGTATTGTCCAGTGCCATGTAATTTAACGTTTAGGTTCTTATTTAGGCCTTGGTTGTCGAAAACTTTCAGCCTCCTTTGTCCACAGTTCAAACAGATCAGTTTCTCACCCGAAGATTATTATAGGGCGGAAAATCGCATGGCGAACACTGCCTTAAGAACGGGGTTCGACTTAGCTGCAGATCCAGTGTCCGTTGTTGCTGCAGAAAAGCTCTCCTGCCGTTCTCATTCCGTAGCTCAACTTTATCCCTAGCTTGACCATTCAGAATTGAGGTGAAGCCCAAGTGTTTAAATGAGGTTAGGCATTCGAAGGGACAGCCGTTGATAGACAACTACTGGTCTGACAACCGTGAGCAGGTTGATAATACCTTAGTTTTCGAGGTGAACATCTGTTACTGAAATGTTATTATTTTTATTATTTCAACACGTAACCAATTACAGAGAACTGGCAAACGCGCCACAACAACACATAGGTGAAAAGAAATCTGAAGAATGTTTTCGTAGGATGTGGGCATGTTACTTCCCGGTTGCCCTGGCCGAGGGGGAAGGAAACCTTGGGGTCTCCACCCGAAGCCTTTGGCTAGAAAGCCAGACCTTCAAGACAACGGGACGGAGCTCAGTCTACAGTCCATTGAGGGCCGGTGTCCAGTTCATTGGATCATACGCCCTTTGGACGGGGTCAAACATCCAAGGTGCCCACTACACCTCGATTCCCAATTGAGCCGGTGACCACTGTCACAACCGGCAAGGTGTGCATGTTCGTACGCCTCTTCTTGGTTAGTTTGGAATCAAGATTTTTGGCCAACTCCCCAAAATGAACTGCCGGTGGTCCACCAACCCGGTTATAACCCCGGATGTCGGCTCTTCGTCCTCTCATTTTGGTGGAAAAACACCGCCACGGGAAGGCAGTAAGTGAAGCTTCCTCAACAGAGGCTGTGAGACGCTTGGTCATATAGGAGCATTTCGCGAGTTGTAAGGGAATGGTGACCAGTCACAATCCAAGACACCCACCCCGACCATACTGAGGCTTTCGGAGGCTACTGAAATGTGCACGTGAGTCAAGATGAAATTACCCAAAAAGGAGTTATGTCAACGACTAACTTTCTTACTCTCCTTGTGATGAGTAGAAGATAGGGTAAGCTCCGTGATTACGAGAACCTGCTGTTCACTTATAGAAAGGGATGTCCTGAGTCCTGGGACTTGGGGTGGTGAACCACAAACCCCCAAAAGGTGGGCGTGGTACTTACGAGTGTATCAAATAAGTGTTCTTGGACGATGGTGTTCACGTACGGTTACGCGTGATGTTCATCTGGGCCGATGTAGAGACGTTGATGCGTTTAAACAGATGTATTTCGTTCCTGTGCCACTAAAGTGAGAAGACGATAAACCGAGATCAGGGGTTATAACTGGGTCCGTGAATCACTGACGACAGTTGCCTAGATGTCATGATTCCAAACCAATGAACTAATGCACGAAGTGCATAGATAATGGTTGTCCAATCTGAAAGCTGAAAAATCAACGTACTACTACAGTCGCCCACACCCTCGGCTGTGGCAGTGATCACCGACTCGATTAAGTACTGACATGTATTGAGAACCTATGACGCTTGACCTCGTCCAAGGAACGTATGGTCCGATAAACCGCACCCCCCCTCCCCCCAGTAAATTGTAGTTTGGATTGGGAAGTGTGTGAAATACAATGCATTCTTTCCCATCACCCAGTGCTACGCTCGGCAGTCCTCTACAAAAGAAGCTCAACGTTAAGACACTAGGTTGCAATGTTCGAAAGCTGTTGCCTCGGTTGTGCATAAAATTACAAACCGAAGTCGTTTCGGCAGAGATGACAGCATGTAATAAATGATACGGATAGCCTGACCAACCTTGATAGTGTGCCGTGTCTCTAGTATGTGTTGACAGATAGTGCTTTTCGCCGCCCTAGTTTCACTGTCTCAATCACCGAAGGTGGTGTTTGCGTATCCTCTTTGATAACTGCATCGTAGTTCAACTGATGTAGCTCGCTCCACAGGAGCAAGTCACCGCGTGAAGGCTTGAGGGGACAATTAATCTTCCAAGTAGCACTATTGCTGAGGACGTAGTGAAATTCATGCGCAGTTCAGCGGTTGTGAACGCTTGATGTAACGCTTGGTTGATTCGTCGTGTGAGCCACTCAGCCGTGTTATCACCTTTGAACGGTAGTTGCAAATAGAGTGGTATCATATTAGCCGTACGCACTACCAATTCAGTTCAGTTCAGTTTTTACAACCATTAACCCTGCTTTTTCGTGCGCCAGTTTTGGTTGCTGTCTTTTGGTGCCCCATTTGGATAAAATAGCACTATCGGTCGCACGGATCTCTGTTAGATGTTTATCTATGAAGCTATCCGGGTGATCGTTCCCGCGAAGACGGNGTGTTCAAGTTCTGCTACGGCGTTCGGAGGGCAAATTTTTCGTGCCCTGAGTTCGATATCGCACCGGATTTTTCTGTTCTTCTAATGGCATAAAGCTATTGCAATTCACATATTGTCTGATCCATGCTGGTTTTCTTTATACTCCTCTCCGGTTAGTTTTATCTGGGTTTCAGGTCAGTAAGACATACAAGAATGGGATTCGATCATTGTTTTTTCTCTCTGTGGCGAATTTGATTTATTTATTTCTCGCTTTGAATGTTGCACACCCAGCCTCAACGTTGGTAATGAAAAATACACCGTCCAAATATCGACAATACACACGGAATTTGTGGATGGTGCCTTGTAAGATTATCCTCTCGAGTTTTCCCATGAATGTCCACCAGCAACGGTCCCAGCGGAGATCTTATCGCGACGCCATCCGTCTGTTGGTATATTCGATCATTGAACAGGAACTGGACGGCAAACGTGCACCGAAGCTAAAGCTATTTCAGACTGGGGAAGGGTATTCCGATTTCCAGTTGGTTATCTGCTACGAATTCGAAGACCGGCGTCGTTAACTATTGCCTATTACGCAGTCCTGCGGGTTTTAAATTACTATAGAACAGTTCTCGTTGCCAGATTTGGAACTACTGACTAAACGCATCGGGCATAGACAAACATGTTAGACAATCTGTGGTGTATTCTCGAAATGGCGGTATGGTTTCAATGTGTATTCACCTTGCCACGAATGACGAGCTGCTAATCTCCAGGACTCACGTAGGCCGTTTATGCCTTCGCTTATAATATGAACCGATTTCGGTTCACCGGATTTATTTATCTCCCATATTTTATGTAGGTCGCGGCTCCTCTGGCGGATGCTGTGGATGATGATGCCACTGCCACACAAGCAATGCCTCACCTGGTACGCATGGGGTCTTCCATTTTGCCTTATCGATCAACTCTAGTAAAATTGGACGAAGTTCGTGTGCCGTGGCACGGTCGGCCAGTAGTTCCGATCACAGAAACCGGTCGTCCGACTGTGAATGCAGCCGCAAAGGAGAGTCACAGTTCTGAGCCGACCACGTTGCTCTCTCCAGGTGTCTTGCATCGACATACCATTTGCATTCCAGCCTACTTGGCCCGGTTGTAAGTTTATCTTCGCTCATTTTCAGTGACCACTCTTTGTTTTGGAGTAATTGTGCACTTATGTTTCATCATCGTCGATGGTACATCTTACGTCATATTTCCGAGCATTTCGCGTGATGGGCGCAGTTTGCAGCACTGAAATTGTGTTTCATTTGGTGTTGACTTGTGCAGTTTTTTAATTAGCTAAGTCCACATCTGTTTGTCTTCGTCTCAGTTTTTATTTCACTGACTATAAAAATCACGAGCGATTGCAATGTAGTTCGCGTTGCGTATATCATTTACTTCTACTAGTACTGTATTTATTTAACACTATAAGGATGACAGCAATCAATGAAGTTCAGTAGACTATTCTCCTTTTAAGTACTCATGGTGGTGATTTCCAATGCTTATTCTTCTAGTTTGAACCGTATTCTTTTTTTTGCTTTCGTGATTTCAGAGCCACATCAACCTACTCGCACTCTGCCCTCATCAAGTTCTGCGGTGCGCCTTGTCTTGTTCAGTGTGATCCTGAACCTTTCCTGGCTGCAGCAATGGCCAAGCGAATTTTGGCCGATAGCAGCTCTCGCGCGGCTTCAGGGCGTCAAACTCCTAGTCAGCAAGAGTCCGAGGTGATCGTTCCCGCCGTTTCTCTTTCATCGGACACGCAGGTTTCTTGCTCTCCTGCATGGCCTTCACCTGCTGTGATCAGCCAATCAACAATTTTGAATCCGCCAAATATTGTTGGATCTTTGAGTTCTGCAGGAATCACAGATCCGGCTCTGCTTCTAGAGGGACTTCCTGGTGCAAACGAACCTCTGGTTTTGTTGCACATTTGGTCTGGATCTCCTGAGGCCATTCGTCGTGCCAGTCTACTAGAACTCGCTCACGTTCGGATTCTTGTGTTCCGGTATCATCTGGTAAGACCCAACTTGATGTACAGAATATGTGCCACGCAGTATACTCAAATTAATCGGCGATATCGGTCTGTTTACCATAAAAAACACTTAGATGTTTGCACTTTGTTTCAGTACAAATTAACACGAGAGGAAAACGTCATTGCATTGGGAATACTGTGTATAATCATGTGGTCATACATAGCTTGCAGTGTTTTCCATTTCGTTTAACGTTTTTACTACCAGAGTGGGGATTTTAGCGCGAAAAGCATGGGTGTGAGGAAGATTTTGACGGAAGGTTTTCCTCCTGTTTTTTTCGTAGTTTCATACTCTTGGTTGCGTCTTCAATAATTCCATTTTCACTCGGAAAGATCATGGAATTCACACTAGTATTGGAAAGAAGCTAGATCTCGTACGAGGCATGTAAACAAAACATTCAACATATGACCACCTAGTCTGTTCTGGATTTACCGTGATATAATGCTACAAGCTGCTTGGGAAAAAGGTGAAAGGAGGAGTGTTGCGTTCCTTGGGATAGTATACGACGTCTGTGTCAGTTAAGACTGATGTGTAAGGGGCTTACAGAGAATAAAAAAGCGGAAAAGGAACCAAATGGGTTTCTCTGATCGAAACACTAGGTAGTAGCGACTAACAAGGGGTCAACTGCCCGGAGAGTCTCTGGGAGTTATTTGTCAGAAAGGTTTTGTATGTTAAAATAAGGCTGCGAAAACGTCTAAACGAAATAAAATTCTGATTAAAATAGATTCAGAGGAAAGACCAGTTATCGTTGACAACAAACGCTTTGGAAAAACATAAACTCATTGAACATTGAAACGCTCACTAAGTTCTAGGCACTGATCTGATGTAGTTTTTTTGACTTTTTACCGAAGTTGGGAAATAGACTACTTTACATGGGAAAGCTAATGGTAACCATCGAGGACGGCCGCGTGCTTTCTCGAGGATTAGGGTTGGCCTAATGGCATTGATCCAGTTTTTCAATGAAGCTTCCCCCCGGTAGATATGGTGTAAAAATAGCTTATAGAAGTCATCTACCACACCAAAGATTTGGATAATGGACCATAGGTTTTAGCCACTGAACTGTCTGTCAGCGTTATAGTAACAGTGGTTTTAGGGTCTTTAAACATTATCTACACATTTGAATGGTTGCGATATACAGATGTGCCTTTGATCGCTTTAGCGATGTCTCGAGGCGTCGATAACTTTGGATTCAGCGTGCAAAAGTCACCTAGCATTTATTATGGCCTTCACAACCAATTTAAAAATAACCGAGTGAGTTAAATTTCATGCATCAGATATCTCAGGATTGCATTCGACTGTTTTTGGCCCTTTTTGAGAGTGAGGGAATTCCGAGTTCTTGCATCACTTTTGGTCCGAGGTTTTTAATAAAGACCTTGATATAGAGTACAGAGGGATTGACTATGAGCGCCCTACCAAATAGGTCCACGGTGATACTATGAAATATGCAGATAGGAATTTTGATCTATCAGCAGGACTAGTTACTTGTAGCTTCCTTTTAAAAGTAGTAACTGAACGCTGTTCGTTAATGGCTTCTTTATGGGGAATGCATTTTGTTAAGTTGTCTGCTGTGCTTGCTGCCGACAATGTCTAATACCAAACGACAGCCTTTGAATGGCCGCAACCCCTTCTCTGGAAGTTGATTGTACATTTTTATATTCAATAAATTAAAAAGGAAGTAAAAAGACAATAAAACATTGAATTCTCTTCTCAATTGTGCAGATGCGCAAGCGATCCAACGGCGAACCGGGAGAGCTAGATTTGACTGACTCCATTGATGCCCCAGTGGAGAACGGTGATGCACCTGTGATGCACTGTAAACCAATTAGTATTCCGGTGTTGAACAACAATGACGAGCAAAATCCAAACGATCGAGCTGGTGGGATGATGATTGGCTATTCTGGCCGTTTCCGTATACAACCAGATCTCATTGGTTTAGCGATCGGCTATCGCGGTGCCACCATCCAAGAGGCTCGTGGTTTGCCCGGTGTGCGCACCGTGGATTTGCTTCAAGATGGAATAGTACACGTCGAAGCTGAGGTACAGTTTCATTTGTGAAACGCTACTTTGTTCTTTCATTGTATCGTTCCCTCATCTCTGTCCATCGCTCCTTATGCACTTTTCTCGTTTGTACTCAACAGACTGTTGAAGCCTGTCAAGCAGTGCGTCATCTTCTCGACTTTACCGAAGCTGAGATCCCAGTTTCTCCGCGACTTGCTAGTCGCTTGATCGGTTCAAAGGGCATGAACATTCGAAAACTTGCTGCCTCCGCCGGTGTCCGTCGCGCCGTACTGCTTGACCCACTCACAAGAAGGAAGCGTCAGCAACAGATCAAACAGCAGCCTTTATCCCTCCTCACGGAGCGGGACGGTTCCGATGTGGCAAGTGAGATCGGTCGTGATGATCATAATGCCGATGGAGATAAACTCTCGGAACATCCACAGACAGATGCCGATTCAGCTGCCGAAGATAGCAATACAAACTTGTTGAAAGACGGTGAGAAGCTACCTCCCCCTGCGTTTTATTTGTTGGGAACGAGACCGGCCGTGGCCAAAATGCGCTTGCTTCTCGAATTTCAGGCTGATAATTGGAATGAGCTTGACGAACTTGAGGTAAGCCGACGAAGTCACCAACAAACATGCTATTTTTCCGTAGTATGATCAGTTCCATCTCACTGCATCGACCAAAGCAATCTCTTGCGTCCGGATGTTACTTGGGCCAATAGTTGGACGTGTATTTTATTGACCATTTCTAATCTACTTGACTGATTGAATGAACTTTCCACAGTAATTCAAGTTTTAATGTTTCATTAGCCATTCTATGAGCAGTTGAAATTACTTTGATCCACTGACAAGATTTCTCTTTAAACATTGTGTCGCTAAAGAATCTTGAGAAATGCTTCTGTGCAACTTTAGCTACGAATGACCAATATTCTATTTATGGTATTGCCCATTGTATCTGCTCTATCAGTTCTTTCAGTGTGAGTTTTGTGTGGTGAAGTGGATTATATTGTTTTCCTCGTCCGCGAATATCTAGTTCTCTTTTCATATTTCTATTTAGGAAGCACGGCGCAGTTTGTATAGTCAACTTCGACAAGCCAGCCAACCACCGGCGGAATCAGTGAACGGTGCCCCTGTCCGTGGAGGTTATGGTGGTCCCGGGTAAGTACTCGTTCTGTCTGAATTTATTCAATGTAATGGCCGTCAACTAAACACTACAGGACGGAATTATTTTTTCCAGCTGTATTTCATAACGACTACTTTTTCCGTCAGCATCTTATGCCGAATAATTTTTCATTGATTCCGACTCATCTGTCCAACCACTTGCGCTTATCACAGTCGTGGATCAAATCGCGGTCGTTGGGCTTCTGGTCGAGGTGGTTCCGTAGATGGCGCCCAAGATGGTGACGCGGACACTCATCCACAACATGACCAGGGCTCATATCGCGGTCGTGGTCGTGCTTCCAACGGTGGCCCATTTAGTCGACCGCCACCATCGCAGCCTGGCCGTCCCATGCGTAATGCAGACCCGAACACTGCAGATGGTGAGTGTTCTCATTAGTGACCTGCAGTAATTAGATGAATAACCGTTCACTGAGGTTTTTATTCAGCCCCAGCTGTTTTATTACACCAGTAATATGTGCAATTGTTTTAAGGGATGATTTCAATGGGATGAATGAGTGTCAGGGAATTCATACACCATGGTTCAATTTGTATTCAGTAGATACAGTGACCAATCAAATATTGGGTTAATAAGAGGAATGAGCTCAAGTTACAGGTTTCGAATTCGTGATCTCCGGGTCGCTATAGTTGCAACCTCAACCACTTTTCTATAATTATATATTTTTCTTTACTTGTGCTTCATGCAGTTCCAGGATCAAGACCCGATGGCCCAGTGGGCAAACGAGCAGGAGATCCCCGACAGGTGGCTGGTTCCGGTGTCGTAATGAACGGTGGTGCTCGGAATCCTGAAAGAGGACGTGGCCGTGGACGTGGAAGGGCAGCCAACCCACCTATTCAAGGATCAGCCTAACCCGTACATTGATCAAGCCAATTGATCTTAGTTCTAGCTGACCGAGAATGCAACGGATCTCCCGCTCAGATTCTTGACCTTTTAGTCATTGTGTTTCACTGGTGCAGAGGGGCAACCTCTGGCTGGTACGCACTTATAAAACGCTTTGAAACTCCGTCCTATCTTGCTCTCATCCTCGCTTGTCACGTGGCCGCCTCTGTTCACTGTGTTTCCGAACCGATTCGGACCTTGTAACGATACCCTATATTGTCGCATTTTACTCAGACAATTATCGCCAAGATTTCTGGCGAATCCACCGCTCACTGTCTTCCAGTTAACGAACAGTCCTGTCCTACTCCAACTAGCTGTCTTCGTGGATTCGGTTTGTTCGGTTGTTGAACAAGCTGTATCACTTTCCTACTCGCTCTTCTGTCATTCTGCGCGGCTCAACTGTCCATGAGATCCTTCTTAGACGTGAACTGCGGGGACGCGTGACAACCGAGAAGCGAGTGGTGGTGCACACAAATTTGTTTCGTTCATCCAAAGTTGCGCCCGGTACACATTTGCTCCGGATTATTTCCCATGCCAATCGTTTTGCTCCGACTCCTGCTGCACATACATTCTCTCACGCATGCATTGACATAAACCAAACGTCGTTCTATTCAAGCCCCATGCCCTGTCCAGTTGGTGATAATTCTACAGATCCACGGTGTGATCGTAGAACAGTAAATACACAATGGCTCGGTTGGATTGTGTTGACTCGTTCTTGTCTTGGTCATCTTCGTGGCACCCGTCGAACTAAGTCGTAGGCGACGACAACGACTGGGGGAATCGTAGTATAAATTCATCTAACTTACCAAGGGGCACCAGAAGGTCGAAACCAATGGTTTGTATTTACAGTCTGTTCTCATTACTGACGTAGTGACCTCGTCAATCTTTCGTCACTCATCCAACGATTCCATTTCCGGCACTTTATTTAGAGATTTCATTTATCGAGATCAAATTAACTGCCCTCAAATAGTTACATACGAACACGTTCAAGTGAAAAGGTTGAGAATGACATGCAATGAAATGATGCCTAGAATACGTGCGTTTCCAACGCCGCCGTGTTTAATGATTTTCTTTCCAAGCGTCATCACGCAAGCTTTCTTGGTCACTGATCATATGGTACTGTTCGCCTATTCATAGTTCTCTAGTGAGTTCTTTTCTATTGCATTCATATGATGAACAATAGACGGGCTGTATTCCATAGTTGGGAAGACCTGCTGTTCGGTGATGCAAACCTGCAACCTAAGCTCGGGATTTAAAATGGCGAATCACATAAGACACCGGTAGATCAGGCATGGTATTGTACTGAACGACAGCAAAGTTGGGTGATGGCTGTGGCGTAGTTCGAACCTCGGACCTTAGGGTCCAAAGCACGCAGGTAAGCGCCTTAAACCATTGTCATGGAACCGAAATTGAAATTCCATTACAGGATACTTAGGGAATAATGTTTTGATACCCAGGGGAATATTAAAACACTTAGCGTGTGGCCTTTGTTGTATTTCGACTCATTCGTCTGCTTTCCAGTCAGTCTAGTGGCAGTTCAAGTTTGATCACGTTAGCCTTATGTCGGCAGTCTTCTCGCCGACTGTTTCAATGTGAGTTCGAATAGATTGGAGACAACACAAAAGATTGCTTCCTCGCTAATAAGGATTTCCAGAACGTGAAATATTCTTGACCACTCATTTTCACAAAATATCAAGCATAGTATTAGTGAACTAACACTCCGCGGAATGAGATTACTCCACAGCAGGAGAATGTGTGATCTGTATACTGGGGGATACTGTTCAACAGGGTCTGATAATGTATCCGAATGTCGGCTTCTAGCATTCCGGTATCCGACAATGCTTGGTTAACACCTGTGCTGTGTCACAGCTTATGCGTTTTCGATCGACTCCTCATGCACAGTGCGGCAGAGAAATACACTATGGGTTACGAGTCGTCAGCTCCAAATCCGATCACTTTCTGAGAGGATTCAACATTATTTCTCAATCCTTGCGTTCATACCGGTAGCGGCTTATTAAACCATAGTAGTGCACTGATCCGTTTCCATACCGTGATGCCCGAATCTGTGAGAGGCTTGAATGCGCCTAAGGGGTTTTCACGGATCATCCGTTATCCCTATAATCGGAATAGCCTCTTAACAATAAGGCACTGCCCCGTGATGGGTGTGTAATGGCTTTCTTCAAATCCCTGCGTTGCACCCAGATTTCAATAGGTCAAGCGTTTGAGTAATCTCCCGTGAGGGTTTCCAGAGAAAACCCTTCGTTGAGAATTACGGTGAAGGATATCGTGCCCTATAATCTCCGGCACGCACATTTGGAAAATCCACTTGCAGCTGTTCAAGTCGTCCACTTTCAAAACTCTTCTCTCTGTCCCCGTCTACTTCTGGGTAGTCAAATCAGAATACATTGCATAGATAGAATCAATACTTCGTTTTCATCGTATTCACTGTCTACACATACTACCCGATCGGCAAACTGGCTGTTAAAATTGAAATGACTTTCAGAATCTGTTTTAGACCGGCCGAGAACCGGAAACAACAGCCCCGACCAAACGAGCTGGTAATCCAGAGTTGTCTCTTCTCATCCCCGGGTTTAATTTAATTTTCTTGCTCCGGCTGGCCAAACTCTAGGTCGATGTCAGAACTTGAAGGTGCGAACTGCGATAAACGAATACCTGTCAACGTGAAGTGTTAAACGTGGTAAGTTACGTAATACGAGTTTGATGCGCGGTATGAAGACATTCCGTCAACTGGTGATGACATTTGAAAGCATGTTATCGAACTTGAAGTCTCGTGAACCGCTTTCGCAAGCAAACATTTCTGTTCGTTTCAGATTTGTCTTTTCAAAGCAATCGCCTTTCTATTCAATAGTTCTTAATACGGTAAAATCGATTCTCTTTGAAAAGGTGATCGGTGTCGAGGTAGTAGGGCGGAGAGTCTGCTTATCTCCACAGATTGCGGCAAAGCTCGACACGGTCACTCATTGAGAAGACGTTTTCACGTCAGCGTGACCCGAGAGACAGCACTTCGATTTTAATGAACGGGCCTATCAATACCGATTCGTGTTTGCCTTTGAACATCGTGTATTGTTAAGAACTCACTGGTCGTTTGCGGATGAAATGCTCATATGTGATGGCGATAAAGAGCATCGGAAAGCTGTTCATTTCTTGTCCTGACTCGAATCACAAATCTTCAGGTTAGCAGTGTAAACCTGTTGCATCTCGGCATGTGGTCCCATATCGTGTAATCTGCATGCTCCTCAGACATAGTCGATTGATTGCCACTTCCAACTCTGCCGATAAACTACGCACATAATGCACTATCCTACGCCGGTGATTGACTGATTTCTTTCTTTGGTAACGTGGATTATTTCCGTTTCAAAAAGAGGATTGTGCGGTGATTACAGAAGTTTGATCAACGGTCTTGTATTTACCAATAGCGATCTACCTCCAACGATTGAGAATTTAAGCACCATCCTGACGGGCGCGAGGCAATTTCTTAGACTTGATTTAAGTCGGGCTGACTCGGTTAGAACTTGAAACCTCTCAATACACCAATGTTACTGCTACGCATACGGACCCATAGAAATACCCGCAGTTACCGTTTGATAATAATGCAGTTCCGCATATTTCCCGAAGAATCATAGATAATCTAATGAACAGAAAAAAAGTATTTGGAGACAAGTGATTGCGTTATGCATCATTTAACAGACTGAAGAAGGCTAGGTTGATTTAGTCGATTATAAGGATCATTTACCCGAGAAGACCGGACGAAATCCTTTGTCTGATGAACTTCAAGTAATACTGCATCGGAACCAAAAGGAATTGCAATCTTTTGTGTAAATGCCCTAGCACCACAGTTGTTTCTTGCCCAACCTATCCTATATTCTCCGTTCACTTTATTGAAGGAGAACAGCAATGGAAAATGGCCTATCGAAAACCAAAGAGACTGTAACAAATAAATGTATTCTGACCTTACCAAGCGTCTTGGTGCACTTTGACGTCATCAAACCCCTAATAATGCAATGCAACATCTCACCATTCGGAATCAGTCCTACACCGACTCCAGTCACGCGCTCTTCAAGCCGCTGAAACAAACTAAACAAAGACGGACAACAAAGCACCATCCGTTGTTTTTGGCGTCAAACACTTCCACCCATTTCTGTGGTGCAAATGTTTTGAGCTACGCGACTTTGACAAGCCGTTGCTGACACCTCAGTAAAAATCAAGTAGTAGAACAAATGAATGTCTCCATAATGGTTCGATTGATATTCGTAGACCCTGAGTTACACGATTGACGGCCGCTTGTCTGGGTGAATGACTGCAATAATTTGGAATGTTATTTTGGTTGAGGCTATAAAAACAGCAGTGGTTATTTTATGTTCTATTCCAGCATCTTCGATCTAATGACAATTGTTTAACATATCCTGAAAGCACTCAGAAGACAAAGGGCGCGGGTCTATAGGCCCATAAATCATAACCTAATGAGTTGGTAAATTAGTGAAGGCGATAGTCGTTCAAATAAAATTTTAGCTAAAATTCTCCGTTGGATGCAAATCAATATTGGGCTCGGTCAACGCATTTGTCACGTTATATAAACAGATGCAACACTACCGCATTTTCCCGTGTCATATCAAACGAAAATAGCGATTGCCAGGTTTTGATCACCGAAACATCCATAGCTCAATGGAGCATTTTCTTACTTCTCGTTATACTGAATTGCAAAAATAGGTTCTTCACCTAAGCGTGAGAGGCATGGTTTTTAACTTTCCCAATCCATTCATTCAGACAGCCTTTCTAACTTTCTGGCTTCTTCCTCCTGCCTTGGGAAAATTACTGTTTGACTTCTGATCTATCAATCAGTGTCTCCTTAGTTTTACGGAAGCCATTTTATCATGCATGTTCTCCTCTCGGTGTACCAGACCGGCTAAAATGTTATCTGGATGGCTCAGCCGCGTTGATTTTCGTACCGT